ATGAGCTGAACAGTTGGGCATCTGCCCTTTGGAGTTTCCATTATGGTTATAAAGATAAGACACGGTACATGTAATGTGAGTTGAGTTGAGTAAAGCTATTGGTCCAACATCACCTAGGAGGAGGTCTAGACAGAATCCCAGGAAGAATTGATACGAAGTTTCTCAGAATGTGAGTTTCTACCCTGTTCCCTTCTTAGGAAGCTGGCCAGTAGATTTAGATGATCTTATATAAAAGTTTATCTGGTTTTGAGTTATATGCCTACTCTTTCTGGCCACAGGTGACTGAACCAAGGGACTGGAAGCCAGGCAGTAAGAACTTTGTCCAATAAGAATGCTAAATATCAGATGGTGACTGACTGAATTAGAGCCTCTAAGGAAAAGTCTGAAGACCAAACAGAGGTAAAGGAGAATAGACAGAGATAGCAGGAGCAAAAGAAGTAGAGAAAAAATAGTCTTTAAGAATGATGAGCTCTCTGGTGTTGGACAGAACTGGAAGGATCAAGATGAACTCATGGCTTTAAATATACAGATGCATAGATGCATTGCTAAATTCAGATATGTGTGTACAGATACATAAGAAGGAGCTTCAAAGAGTTTATGGAAAAATGGATTGAAAAGAATGGAATTTTTATTTCTTAGCTCTGTCTGCCGAGAGAGCCTTGACTAGAAATGAGTATATCGAGTGCCCAGATCTCAGTTTCTAAGAAGCATTATGGAATAAAAGGACCCAAGGGCTGCTTAGAGAAATGGCTGATGTCAGGGCTAGGTTAGAAGAAATACAAGGTGAGCCTGGAACATCTCGTGGTGCCAGAAAGTGAGGAAACGCTCTAAAAATGGTAAGGGCAAGTGCTGAAAAGACAGGTGCCAACCTGAAAGAGTTCTTAATGGCCAAATCTGGGCTGATATGAGTAAAAATAAACTCTATTAGCATTTGAGTTATGCTGTTGGAGGAGAATGTTAAAAGTGCCATGGATTGCTGAAAGAACAAATCAGTCTGTACAGCCAGAATGCTCCTTGGAAGCCAGGATGGCCAGACTTCGTGTCTCATACTGTGTACAAATTATCTGGAGGAATCAGTACCTGGAGAAAGGATATCATGTTTAGTTATGTGAAGGGTCGGAGAAAAAGAGGAAGACCCCCAACAAGATGGATTGACACAGTGGTGGCAGCAATGGATTCAGGCTCACAACAATTATAAGGTTGGTGCAGGACTGGGCAGTATTTCATTCTGTTGTGCACAGGATTGCTATGAATCAGAACCAACTTGATGGCACCTAATAACAACAACATTAGTATTAGATTGTAACAATAGAATAAAACAATCCATGAATTCATATCAATATAAATTATTAAATAAATGGGGTCAAGGGACAGCTCTTTCTTATTGAGTAGACTGTTGCTATGCATCATCAAATCAGTTCCAACATGCAGCAACCCAATGTGATACAGAACTGTCCCCTAGGGTTTCCTAGGCTGTAATCTTTACAGAAGCAGAGAGCCAGGTCTTTCTACTGGAAACTGCTGGGTGGATTCAAGTCATCAACCTCTGGTTGGCAGTTGAACACTTAACTAGTGTGCCTCCAAGTCTCCTTAGATTAGACTATTAATTATTAAACATAGGAGAAATAGAAAATCATCATTAAGCAGATTCAGCATTAATACTTATTGTAAGCAAGAACCAATGATGGATGTTAAAATCAGTGGATGAAATTCTAAGCATACAAGAGCTACAGTTTCAAAGTATCTCATAAGAGTCTTACTATTTTATTTATTTATTTTTAAGTTTTTATTGTGAATTGAGTGATAGTTTACATGGGAGAACATTGGTTTTACACTAATTGTTTCATTGCAATGATAACAGTCTCCTCCATGCATCATCATTCAACAGTATTTGCTTCTATTCCCTCTGTTTTTTGTTTGTTTTCTTTTTTTTTTGACGTACACAAAAACACTCAGGAATATATAATCATTTAAACAACCAAAGGGCACATTCTGCAAGCCTGCCTCCTGGCTGCCAGCACACAGCCTTTCTTTTTCCATGAGTCTAGAGTCCTCAGCTGCTCTATCTTTCCATGTCCTCATCTCTGCCTCCATCTCTGGTGTCATTGCTTCTCTGGATAGGGTCCCACTTTCCGCTTGTGCTCTTCTCCCTTGATGGTCCTAGGGGCCTGTTCCTGGTCTGTAAGATTAACTACTACCCCCTTTTTGTTACAAAACTTCTACCCTGACAGTTGTGACAATTGCAGTTAGTCATGATAACAATCACTCACTATTGAATCACAAGAAGATTCTTACTACTTTTAAAGGGGTTGTTGTTAGTAAATTTACAGTGGAGAAACCTGGCATACACCACTTTAGCTATATGATGAAAGTTATCTCCTATATGAGGCACTGAGAAAAGCATATTATCTCTATAGTCTTGTAAAAAATTCATACCCTCAATCTAATTATGTGAAATCATTAGATAAATGGAAAATGAGGGACATAACCAGTCTGTACTCTCAAAAGTATCATTCTCAACTTCATGACCTTAAAAGTGTCAAGATCATGAAAGAGTCATGTATCAAAAGAAATGCAGAAAGCAAGACACCAAAATGCAAAATGGATAAAAAAGACCAGACTTAATGGTATGAGAGAGACTGCTGGAATCCCCAAGGCCAGCACCCTTCGGTCCCCTTCAGTCCTGGAACTGAAGCTACCCTTGGGGATCACCTCTCAAGCAACAGACAGTCCTATAAAGTGAACAGTAACACCTATGAGAACGTACTCATGACAACAATTAACTATATGAGACCAAAAGGGTCTTTGACCAAAAGCATTTGCCCAAAAAACAGCTCAGAAGGCAGGAAGGGGCAGGAAAGGACTTTGATGATGAATGGAACCAGGGATGAATGCAAACGAATGGAAAGGGAGGAAATAGGAAGAGTGCTGTTGCATTGGATGAATTATAACTAATGCCACAAAAATATATAAATTATTGATTGCAAAACTAATTTGCTCTGTATATGGAGTCCTGGAGTGGTGCTGTAGGATAAAGCACTGGACCGCCATGTCAGTTTGAACCACACAGAGAAGGTTCAAACTCACCAGCCACTCCTTGGAAACCCTATAAAGGGTTGCTATGAGTCAGAACCAACTTGACAACAGTTAACAACAATAATTTTCACCCACAATAAATAATAAATTAAAAACTATAGCAAAACAACTAAAATAAAATGGCATTCAACTCTAATGAATTGCTCTGTCTAAAATTTAGATACAGAGATAAAAAGACACTTCTAGTTAGATATTGTTGTAATGTTCTTGATTAGCCAAATTCTTCCCTACTAGTTAGAACTTTGTTGTATTATTATTGCTCAAAACAAATTTATTGGCTCAAAAAAATTCAATGTGGAATCCTGGACTAGAAAAGGACAAATGTGAGGGAGGTCTGTGGGTCAGTTAGAAATACAGGATCAATGTGAGTTTCCTCATTTTGGTAATTATACAGTGAGTATGTGAGATGTTAACATCGAGGGAAGTTGAGTAAAGGGAATATGGAAATTCTCTATTATTTTTGCAACTTTTTGTAAGTCTAAACTTGTTTCAAAAGTTTAAAAAATTTTTTTGGAAAGATTTGGAAACAGATGAATAACATGATCAACATGATTAATGTTACTGAAATATACATGTAAAAATGCTGAAATGGAAAATCTTTTGTAACATATATGAGGCTTCAGAAAGTGTGGAAAAATGTAATTAAATAACAAAACAACTTTTCCACAACTTTTTGAAGCCCCCTCATATATTTATCACAATAAAAAAAACTTAGGAGAGAGAAAGAAATAAAAGGAACAGCAGCCAACTGAGGTAGGGGGCAGCAGACAGATCGAGCTCCTTGAGGAACTAGAAGGTGAAAGCTGAAGCCACTGCTGGACCCCAAACCCCGGCCTGATGGCCTCACAGCCACCATATTGTTATGACAGACTTTCAGCAACCAAAGAAATTTGATTTCTGCCCACATTTTCTGCCTCTTGAAAGAGATGAGCTAACAACTACAGGAGGATTCCAAGAACGCTAGGCACTGGGAAGGTAGATGGGAGGTTGTTAGTAGTGGCTGCTGCAGATGGTGCCTGAGGATGTGCCCTGTCAGGCTATGAGTGAAACACGCCTGGGCTGTGGAACGAATGCCCTTGGGAGATGATGTCCTGATCCTCTCTCCTTAATGACTACAATGAACAGTGCATGGGGGAGATGTTTATTGCAGACTCATCAGGCTGGGGTAGCAACACACTCCACGGCCGCCTGGGCAGAGCAGACCCTGTGGTCTCTCCCCCTACAGCTTCCCAGTAGCTATGTTATTAGTGCCCACAAGGAGGTCCCTACAGAGCTGAGTCTGCTTGCTTGGTTGGGATTATTTGTCCAGTCCCAGAGGTGGGGAGGGTCATGAACCAGTCAGTCTCCCATCCTAGGGGTGTCATCTATTGGCCTAGTTCCAAGGCTGGAGAAACATGGTCTGGATATGGGGTGGGAAAGATCAGTATGTATGGCAGGGCAGTGGAAGGAGGGCAGGATCCTTTTTCTTTGGACTGTTAGGACACAGGATAGGACACAGGAAAGCAGCAGCGAGACAGCAGAACCATCTATGCTGGGTTCTCCACTTCCCAGGGACACAGTCTTGGGGCTGGACTGCATGAAGGCCAGCAGTGGGTGGGTCACAACCAGATCCCTGTCTCCTTCCAGTTCGATCTGTTCTTAGCTGCCATACTCTGAGTTTCCTAGGTGCATGATAAACTTGCAAAGACTGACGGGGTATGGGGAGCATGCTGAAGGACAGAGCTGAGGGTTTCTCTCCCTGCCTTGAAGGTAATGTTGGGGTAGCTTCTCTCCTGGAGGATGGTTAGCAGCTTATAGGCCCAGAACAAAGGCCAGAGTAGGTCAAAATTCCTACTCAAAACCTTGAGGAGGGGTCTTTCAGGGGCTGTGAAGAGGTAAGCAGTTCTTAAGCTGGGTAGACAGGAGGAAGAGGCATGAGGGGAAGATAGGTCAGTTGCCATGCCACAGCCATGGGGCCTTTATTGGATGTTGAGGGCATGTATAGGCACGTATATGTTAGAGTGTGTGGCACACCTTCTCAGGGTGTAGTGGTGCCCGGATGTCCAGTTTGTGAGTCTTGCTGTCCTTATCGATGATCTCCAGCCGAAGCTTGGGGGGACGCTTCTCAGCTTGGGGTGAGGGCAGCTCAGGGCTCTTGAAAAGTTGTTTGTCTGAGTCCTCCACAGTAATGCGCAGAGTACAGCCACCTGGCAGCAGATCCTGCTCATAGGCTGCCGCCAGCTGGTTCACCACGCGGCGCTCTACCTGCAGATGGTGGTAAAATGGTCATCACTGTCGTGGCCTGAGCTTGAGGCCAGGCTCTATCACTTACTGTTGAATCCTTTGGGGTAAGCTCAAGTTCTAGTTTCCTCATCTGCACAGTGGGCTACCACCACCTAGCTTGCAGGGTTGGGCTGAAGACTCAGTGATGTCAGTGTCTGAGGACTCCACCCTAACTCACCACTTCTGGTAGGAGTTCCTACTTAGCCACCCTCCAGGACAAAGGTTTTAGTTTGATCTTGTTTGGCTCTAAAGAAGGAAAGATTTACAGCCTCGGAAACCCTGTACAGGGTCGCTATGGGTCGGAACCGACTCAACGGCACTTAACAACAACAACAAAGAAGGAATATCTGTTCTGAGTGTAACCAGCTCAAGGAGCCACACTAAAGAGAGTTAGGCTGAGAGCACAGGGCATGGGGATGGAGCTCCAGAGTGGGGGTGTGGAGGCATCGTGTGTCTCTTTGGCTCCTGTGCTCAGAGTTACGGCTCACCTCATGCTTGATGGAGCGGGCACCATAGTGCACATTGTAGCCGTCGACCAACACATCTGCCACCTCGCGGTCCCAGAGCAGCGTGATGTTGTGCCTTTGTTTGGCCTGAAACAGGTCAGACAGGAACATGTCTGTGTGTAGCCCACCACTCTGCATCTCTCACCGCTATGGCCTGAGTCAGGGAGAGACTGTGAGCCCCCAGGGCACTGGTTTCACAGCACTCTGCTCCACACTGTGTGTGTGTGTGCGTGTGTGTGTGTGCACGCACGCTTGCATGCAGGCACCTACTCCCAGCCCAGTGTTCCCTGATTTCACTGGTGGATGTCCCGTCCCCACACATACTCTCTTGGCCCAGAAGTTCAGTTCCTTGTTGACTAGTTGAATGAGCTCCGAGTGGCAGAAGGGGAGGAAGTAGACTATTTCATTGATCCGTCCCAGAAACTCATCTCTCCGGAAGTGAGCCTGGAGGGAATAAGGGAAAATACTGACCCTCAGTGGGGCAGAGGGAAGAGGGGGTGGGGCTTCTGTAGCTTTAGAATAGCAACACCTCCTCCCCAACAGATCCAGCAGGAAGGACAAAGAAAGATGTCTTACTTTTAGGATAGGGCGAATCACATTCTCCTTGAAGTTCTTTGAGATGGTGATCTTGTCACTAATCTGGACATCCCCTATGGAGAAAGAATCATAACCTGCCTACTACCCACATCTAAAAGTTTCAAAGGCTGTGCCTGCCCTTTGTCCTGTCTATGAGAAGAGCCCTGGTCCTACCCTGACTCTGATCCTGGTCAAGGCCTGGTCTTCCTCAGGGTAGGGCTGTAGGAGGGAAGGGAAGGGAGAGAAGACAGTGCCAGGATCACGACGTGAGTTCTGAATTGGAGGAAGGGATTCACTCTAACTAGAGAGGTGACAGACATGCTTCTTTTCAGTACTCTCCAGGGCCTACCTTAAAGGAAATTTCCCTGGGGGAAATGGACTGTGTGTCCACCTCCACACAGTTTCTGAGCACCAAAGAATCACTATCTAATAAGTATATCTCTTCAGTATCCAAGACCTTGGCCTTTTTGGGGGCCCCCACCCCCTGTCCATCCTTCTGTTTAGAACCCTCCTGATACCCCACAGACCAGGGCTTTCTAGAGGAAGTTAACAGTAGAGGCACTGTTTTCTCAAGTTTTTCTCCCTCCACCATCTGGTATGGTGCCTAGTCTGTGCTAGCTGAGGACAAAGCTGCCTACCAGGACTTTCACCTAGGTCTGGAACCCCAACTCCTCTTCTTGCCCCCAGGAGATGTGCTGGTGGCCTGGTCACTTGCCCAGACAGCTCAGGCCGCAAGGCATACCAAGGTTCTCAGCGATACGGTTATGGCTCAGCTCCAAAGCTTCCTGCCTCAGCTGTAGCGCATGCTGTGCGATCTCGTCACTGGCCACGTTGGAGGTCATGATGAAGATGGCATCTTTGCAGTCAATGGTCTTCCCTTTTCCATCTGTCAGCCGGCCCTGGGAAGGAATAATGAGTGTTCAGTCAACTACAAGCTAGGGCAGACTTTCACACTCAGTAGGCACCTCCTCCAGGAGACCTCCCCAGGACTCCATGGACCTATGTAGAGCTGTTCCCTGTCCTGGGTTCTCTGAGCACCTTATTCATATCTTGCTACAGTGCGTGCACTGCCTTGGGTTTAACTGCTCCACATCCCGAGAGTGCCTCTAGGTGACATTGCACCTGCCCCCATGCATCCATTTATCCAACTACTTTCTTGGAGGACCAGTCTTGGTCAGGGTCTGTGTTGGGGCACTGAGAATTCACTGAGTCGTCAATATTCTCCCAGTCTAGAGAAGTACCCTAAATCTGCCATAAACACCCACTGCCATTGAGCCTGACTCTTAATGACCTTATTATATAGGACAGAGTAGAACTTCTCGGGGTTTCCAAGACTGTAAATCTTTACAGGAGTGGACAGTCTTGTCTTTCTCCTGCAGAGCAGCTGGGGGCTTTGAACTGCCGACTTTGAAGTTAGCAGCCTAATGCTTAATCCACAGCATCACCAGGGTCCCTCAGTAAGCATTCAATACCTGCTGGCTGAATGCCTGAAGAATCATAGACGTTCTTAGAGAAAGTTGTAATTATGATCCTTATAAAGAAATTGAGACAGAGAGGTTAAGTAACTTGTTCAAGGTCTCACAGCTAGAAAACAAAAGACCTGAGACTTGAACTGCCTGACTCCAGATCCCATGCCCCTCCTCTGTACCAGACAGACCCAGTGAATAGCAATGGCAATTCAGCAACCTGAGTATTAGGATAAAGGGAAGGCCAGGTTGCTGCAGGACTTCAGAGAAGGGTATGTGATAGGGCTAATGTGAGGGCTAGATGTTGTCCTATTGGTGAAAAATCCTTAGTAAACCATGCAATGCACATGCCCAGAACTATTAGAGCAGACATGAAATACATATTTGTTGGATCAAAATGAAAATGTTATGTGCTGTGGAGTCGGGTCTGACTCACAGCAACCCTGTACAGGTTTTCCAAGGCTGTAAATCTTTACGGGAGCAGAAAGCCTCATCTTTCTCCCACAGAACGGCTGTTAGTTTTGAACTGCTGACCTTAAGGTTCGCAGTCCGATTCATAACCACTACGCTACCAGAGAAAATAGGGGTAATTAATTTCAACAATCTTTGGAGCCACTGTCTGGCCGACAGAGGGATAGAAAATAATGGTCCTCTTTTAACCAGCTAGGGAAGTTTCCCTTGAACTCTTTCACAAGTGACATGACAAGACTTTGGGCATGTCACCAGGCAAGACTAATACCTAGAAAAGGACCTCCTTTTTGGTACAGTAGAGGGTCAGTGAAAATGTGGGAGACTCTTAGTGAGATGGATCGACACATGGACTCAAACATTCCAGCAGTCAGAAGATGGCACAGGCCCGGGGAACATTCAGTTCTTAGACATAAGGTTACCATGAGCTGGAGCTGACTTGATGGCAACTAGCAACAAGAAGTGACGTAGAGAAAGCATCTCTATGGGAGGCAGGTACACTGGGAAAAAAGGAGAAAACAGTGGGCAGAAAAGACAGAGGAACTAGAAAATCTAGCTGTGAAGGGCCGTTCTGTTCAAGAGCATGAAGCTCCACCCACTCAGCAAATCTTAGCAGTCTCACTGTACACCAGGACTTTTACCATCTTTACTGACAAACGTCCTGATGGGGATGCATTGAGACAGTCTGGTGTAGTAACACTGAGCATGCGGAGGGCACTTTCACTTGTATCCTGCTCAGTGCTTTCCATGAACTAGTCTATACTCTGCCAGAATGCTGCTCTAAGAGGGCAGAGGCTTGTTCTTATCACTGTGTCCTAGAATCTGGCATAAGGATTCCAAATTCTGCTGGCTAAATGCCTACAGACACACAACCTTATTTTCCACTGGCCCTTAAGCACTGATCTCTGAGAAAGTGTGTTTCAAAATCTCTAGTCCAAAGGGGTCTGGAGATTAGAGATCCAGGTCACTCTCCTGGCCCTGCTTGGGGTGGGAAAAGAACAAGACAAGTGCAAGTGGGTGTACTTGAGTTTGCACCATCAGCTTCCTACTAGCTCTCCCTGCATGGGGGTTATGCCCAAACAGAACCCACTGAAGGCAAGCTTCGCTTTGGGTCCAGTCTGCATGCATGTGTGATGTTTTTGAGCACGCAAAACTGATACCGTACAGTACCTCGGTGAAGCTCACCGCTGAAGACTGAGTTCACACATGGCTGTCCTGGCCAGAGCAATAACCCAGCAGCAATTTCATTCCAAGAGACCAAAGCTCTGCTCATAACTGGGCCTGACGATGGGTCCCAGGTGAGTGAGGGGAGCAGGTGCAGTGTCTGAGTGACCCCAATGGTGGCTTTCAGAGTTCATGTTCCTTCTCCTCAGTTTCCTTGGCAATAACAGATGTCCCAAAGAGGGAGATATCACTGTCCCCACCTCACTCTGCCTGGGTTCGGCTCAGGAGTCTTACTCCTAGGTTACCGGGACTACTTCCCCACAACTTTATGTGAATCCTTGCTGGGAGTGGGAAAGGGGAAGCAGTCTCTTCCTGGGACTCCTGCCCTGGGCTGGAAGCTTGGGGTCACTGGGGAAATGGCCAGCATTAGTCCTGCTTGGGAAATCAGTAAGAGCATTTGGGTTCCTGAGCTGTGGTAGCGATGGGGTCTTTGCTGCTTAAGTGCCCCAGATCTCCTACCAATCCCTAGGCATTCTCTCTTTAGGGAGTCTTCCCTTGTACCCTGAACTGGATTAGTGTCCTCACAGTCCCCTGTACTTGCTATTTATTCCTTGTGTAGCACTTAGCCAATCTTCTTCAGGTGCTTTCTACCTCGCCAATTCATGAGCACTCAGGCAGAGACTGTATGTGCTTTGTTTGTAGCCTCATGCCCCACACAGTGGCTCAAGCATAAAGAAAGGAACTGCATTCTCCTCATTGTTTTCCTATCTACTGAGTCCTGATTTAATTCTCTCTTGATAGTTCCAGGCTCCTTCTTTGCTCTTTTCCTTTCTCTCCACACTCAGTAGACCCTGGCAGGCAGTCTCTCTCAGTCTACCCTCTCTGTATGGGATAACTCCCGAATCTTGATTTCCAGTTTAGACCTTTCTTTCTCTTAAATATAACAGGATAACATCCTCTTGAGCATCTCCATCTGGCTGTCATGCAGGTATCCCATTTTCAACAATTCCTAAACTTAGCTCATCACCTTCCTTGCCAATCTGCTGTCATCCTCCTGTTTCTCTGCCTCAGCTGATGGCAGCAGCAGACATTCCATTATCCGGGCCAGAAATCAAGTCCCTGGTCATCCTTGGCTTCCACCTCCCTCTCCCTATATTCAATCCCCAAATCCTGCAGAGTCAACCTCCTCATCCGCATGACCCCTGCTATAGAATAGGCCTGCCCATCTCTAGCCTGGACTATTCAATAGCTTCCTGGACAGTCCCCTTCTCTAGTCAGTACATTATCTGTAATTTTGCCCTACAAGACCTTCATAAAACACAAATCTGACCACACTTCTTTATTGCTTCAAGTTTTCACTGGCCTCCTCTCTACCTCACCTTCAAGACTCTGTTCTCCTTTTACATCTTCAGTTGAGCAGTACTGAATAGCCACAGTTCCCTGAATGCACCAGGCAAGGCAGTTTGATGTCCTTGTGTTTTTGCATATTAAGTTTCTGCTGCCTGCTCTTCTTCACTTGTTCATCCAGCAAATGTTTAGATCATTTTTTGAAGGTTTGTGGAATTACTGTTAAATTAATATAGCATTTCCCCTGACTTTGTGGGCTCTGGGAACTGATGGAGTGAATAAGACAAGGTTAGTGCCCTCAATGACTACATATGCATAAATTGTTGTTGTTGTTAAGTACTGTGGAGTTGGTTCCGACTCATAGCAACCCTGAACAGGGTGTCTGAGGCTGTAAATCTTTACAGGAGCAGAAAGTCTCATCTTTTTCCCACGGAACCACTGGTAGTTTTGAAATGCCGACCTTGAGGTTAGCAGGCCAACTCGTAACCACTATGCTACCAGAGCTCCTTATATGCATAAATATGACTAAGTAAATTATGACACCACCATTCTGATGTTGGTTGCACTGTAGTGGGCTTGTGTGTTGCTATGATGCTAGAAGCTATGCCATGGATAATTCAAATATTTCAAATACTAGCATGGTGGACAGGTTTCAGTGGAGCATCCAGATTAAGACAGAGTAGGAAGAAAGAATAATAATAATAATAAAAAAATCAAAAACAAAAATCCAACCAATGAAAATTCTATGGATGACAACAGAATATTGTCTGACGTAGGGCTGGAAGATGGGTCCTCCAGGTTGGCCACAAGAGACTTGAGCAACCAGCAATCATGAAAAGACGGTGCAGAACTGGGTAATACCTCATTCTGTTGTACATGAGGTGGCTATGAATTGGAGCTGACTCAATGGCCACCACCACGATTACTAACAAACTTGATAGCAGCTTTGGTCAATGGAACCAAGAGGATAAACATCAGAGACTGCAGTAGGCTGGCTGGGGCTGCAGGAAGGAATCAATATCAACTCCCCAAAAGACAGTATGTGGAGTGAGAGCAACAGGGAAGGGGCGGACAGGGCTTGCATGTAGAAGCTATTGGCTTCTTGCAGGTGCGGCTGGTTGTATTTCAGCCAGCAGCTGTTTTACCTCTTTCTGGGCCAATGATGCCATCCGAGGCACCTCTCCAGGGATGCCAGTGATCAGCTGCTGTGTCTACCCTTTCTGAGCTGGGTTCGCCTTTCGTGTGATGGTTAATTTTATGTGTCAACTTGGCTAGGTGATAGTGCCCAGCTGTTTAAACTCCAGTCAAAATACATGTGATTTGATTAACATTTACAATCAGTCGCACTCAATAAAGGAAATTGCATCTATAATGTGGTGGTCCTTATCAATCAGTTGACGACTTTAAGAGGAAAAATTGAGGTTTCTTATAAAGAATTCTATTTCAAGATTGTAACAGAAATCCTGCCTGAATTTCCAGTCTGTCGCCTGACCTAAAGATTTTAGACTTGCCAGCCCCTAAAATCATGAGTCAATTTCTTAAAAGCAGCCAACTTCTCTCTTTTGATAAATATATATATTGGTTCCATTTCTCCAAAGAATTCTAACAGTTTTTTGAGTGCTTTGCAGCAGATCAACCTCTCTCCCTCTGGCTCTCTCTTGGCCCTAGCTGCATGGTAGTTGTTTAAACAGTGTTAAGAGTGCAGGCTTTAGACACAGAGAGGGAGAGGGGCTGTGTGCTAACAACTGGGGGCCAGGCTTGTAGTGTATACCCTTTGGCTGGTTGATGATGCATGGAGGGGATTGTAACCATGACAATGAAACGCTATACGATAGGATGAATGTAAAGCTAATGTTCTCCTATGTAAACTATCACATAATTCACAATAAAACATTAAAAAAAGAGTGTAGGCTCTGGAACTGGACTTTTTGGGTTCAAATCCTACATTCTCCCATTTCAATTATGTGACTGTGAGCAAATCACTTTGCCTCAGTTTCCACATCCTTTAAATGGGAGCAGTAACATCTGTCTTCATAGAGTTGTTGGACTCAATGAATTGATACATACAAATTTCTTGGAGCAGTACCTGGCACATAAAGTACAAATACGTCAGCTATCACTATGTCCCCTTTCCATCTTTCTATTAGAATATAGTGCCGGAAAAGAGGAACGCCCCCCAATGACATGGATTGGCCAAGTGGCAGCATCGATGGACTCAAGCGTGGCAACAGTAGTGAGGTTGGCCCAAGGATCGGGCAGTGTTTCGTTCTGCTGTGCATAAGGTCGCTATGAGTCAGTACCGACTCGATCGCACCTAACAACAACAAAATTAGGATGGGAGCTCCCAGAGGACAGGTGTGGTCTGGTCCATAGCTGTGTACCTGAATTCTGTCAGGAAGCTGGAAAAGAATGGGAGTTTTCTGAGAACATGTGTGAATAACTGAATATGTGAACTTTGAAAAACTGGCCTCTCATTCCTGGATGGAAGGCCCAAGGGCAAGGAACAGCCGAGGGGCTAGGAAAACAGCAATAAACCTGGGGCAGAAGGAAGGACACTGAACCAGGCAGGGAAGACAGTGGGAAGATGGTGGAGAGATACGGATCTGGGTCCTCCTAGTACATGTTCTGTTTGGTCATCTGTGTACCTGTGACACGGGAAGCTGAATTTCTCATTATTTCAGGGCTGGAGGAGTCGACATAGAAAGGTGAGTTAGACTCTATCTGGACAGATGCTGGCTAACACAGCTTTTGTATTAAAGCGGGGGTGGGGGGGAGGGGGTTATGGGAAGAGAAGTTTCAGTTCAGGATCTGCCCGTGGCTCTTGGAAGAAAGTGAAAGTCATTCACTCCTGTGGTCTTTAAGTGCTCCCTCCTCTGGACAAGGTAAGAAGTGGTAGAGAGGGAGAACTAGGATTCTGAGACCAGGTATGTCTACCATTCAATCCTGGCTCCTCCACACAGTAGCCCTGTAGCCTTGGGCAAGTCATTTACAAACTCTCTGACCCTCCCTCAATTTCATCATCTGTAAGAAATGAGAGAATTTCTACCTTGCCTAGATATTGTGAGGGGTGGTGATACTGTTTGTAAATCTTGAGTATGTGCCTAATATATAAAATGTGCTAAAGAAAAGGGGGACTTCCAGTGCAAGGAATGTCTACTTTATGAAGAGCTGGGAGCTCCTCAGAAGATCAGGGTACCATGAACCAGAGTATCCGAACATCAGCATCACCAGCAGCAACATTACAGCATTTTAAAGAACTGCTGGAGGGAATGGAGGGAGGACCAAGAGCCAGAAGGGTCCTTTGACCTTATGTGGTCTGCCGCTCTTTGTCACATGAAGTCTCTGATGCTAGACATCGGCAATGATTTGCCAAGGCCACAAAGCAAGTCAGGGTAAAAAGCAGAGTGGGAACTCACACTTCAGTTTCTTTCTTTCTCCTGGCCCCTCTGTCACAGGGGCCATGAAATTTCAACTTTCAGGCAGTGCTGCTCTTCTCTTAATGCAGAGTGCAGTGGGGAGGGGCTACGTCACATGCGCTGATTGAATGCACATGTGGCACTGTAAGTTAAAGACGATCAGATGAGCCTTAGACCCTTGATTGCTGCTAGTTCCAGCCCCCCATGCCTGGTTCTCCCACACCATGCTGGCCCTAGCTCCAAGCTGACTTTCACCTCATCAAACAGCTGTAGCATGATGGTGAGCACATCTGGATGGGCCTTATCCACTTCATCGAAGAGCACCACGGCATTGGGGCACTGCTTCAGCTTCTTGGTCAGCTGGCCACCCTCCTCATGGCCGATGTAACCTGGTGGAGACCCAATAAACTTGGCCACCTGGTGGAATGAAAAAAACAAGCTGGGAAGTCCCTTTCCAACATGGAGCGTTCCTGTTTTTCCACACTGATAAGACTGCCTATTTCAACAAAGAACAGTCTCTCCTGGTGTGGTAGGAATCCTACACAGATGGGGGTTGGGGCAGGTAGATTTTGTATTTATTTCTTAGAACAGATTCTATGCAAAACAATCTGGAGTCCTGCTGTACACGTGCCACAACAGGACAAATCTCAAAGCTGCTGGAATTATCTGAGGTCTAAAGGCCCAAATGAGAAATGACAAAAAGATGAAGGCAGAGTCATGCTGACAGGCCCTCCGAAACAAGCTTTGCAGAGGTGTTTCTTAACAGGGCTCTCACTCACCTCATGTCGCTCCTGGAACTCAGACATGTCCAACCTGATAAAGCCCTGTGTGGAAACAAGCAGATACTGAGTCTACTTAGAGGAAGAAAGGTAGACGGGAGAGTTAATTTAAGGAGGAGAGCACCTCAAACACCCCACCAGGTTTTCAGACCCCACCATTCCAAGATTTTCTATGTATTCTTATGATAGATTTTCTGGTTCCTTACCTCCTCTGGCCGCTCACTCTCCACGATTCCCCTACTCCCTATCCTATTAAACACAAGTGATGTTCCTGCCCTTGTCAATCTGGCTCAGATTGCCTCTTCTTTCAGGCAGGTTGCCCTCTCTCCATGCCTCCACATTTCCTGAGGGCATCCTGTGTGGACTAGGCACTGGAGCTATACATGTCTTGCTCTTTGACCCTGAAGAGCACCCCATTGAGTGGGGCAAGCAGAGTCAGTCCTACTCAGAGTGGAGTGTGATGAGATGGAGCGACACATGCCCAGAGAGCCCCATTGTGCTCCTTAACTCTGCAAATCTGTGGGCACATGTCCCTTTGTCTTAGTTTTCCTTTTTAAAACGAGTATGCCTTTTACTTTTAAAATATTTCTTCATTTTGTTAAAAAGAAAATCCATTAAGTAGCTTGTAGCACATTTCTCTTTTCCTTGGGTGTGGGTGATTTCCAAAGAAGTGGCCACCTGGGGTGAAGTCCAGGGGAAGAGGATAGTACAGGAGGTGGCTATGAATTGGTACAGATAGTCGTCAGCTGTTGCTGAGTGGCTTCTGACTCCTGTTGACCCTGTGTTTTACATAACACTGCTCCATAGGGTTTTCTTGTCTGTAATCTTTCTGGAAACAGATCACCAGGCCTATTCTTCCTCAGTGCTACTGGGTGGGTTCCAGCTGCCAACCTTTAGGTTAGCATGTTGACGAGTGCAAACTGTTTGCACCATTTTGGGATCTTTGGTTCAGGAAGGAGCTTATATATGCAGCAGCTGTCATTTAAAAATAAAAAACACGGAAGGCTGTTCTGTTTTCAAACCTTTCATCACCCTATGTGAAATGGGGACAAACTGGTAAATTTACAATCTCGCCTCCTAGAGTAGCTAGGAGCAATATTATGGAGAGAGAAGTTGAGAGACTGACTTCTGATTTGACTTCTTCCCCTAACAAGTGACCCTGGACAAGCCCCTAAAGCTGTAGGGCCTTAGTTTTAAAAAGTGTGTCTAATTAAGCGTCCGTCCTCATGGGATCAAATATGAAAGCAGGTGAGTACTGCTGTGAACAGTACAAAGTGAAGAAGAAATGCAAGACAAGGGAGAGGCACTTAACTGAGTGCCAGAAGAGCCTTGACTAGTTGCATTTCACACTCTCTCACTTGATGCTCATGACAGTCTTAGACATAGGATTTGACAGTTTCACTTTGAAAGAAGGAAGTTGAGACTTCGAGAGGTAAAGTAACTTGTCTAGGGTCAGTGGAATGTAGAACTGAACTCAAGACAAGGAATGTTGGCTCCATAGCTCTGTCCATTGCATTCCACTGCCTTCAGGGGTGATGGGGTGACTTCCTTCTTTCTAGGTGAAGCTGTACTGAAGGACTTCATCACCACGCTTCAGGACAACCTGCGCTGATGTACATCTTCCTTCGTTTAGATGCACCAGCTAAAAAATCCCTTGCATCATCAATCTTTTAACAAGCCCCTTCCCCTTTCTGCACTTATTACAAGTCAGCAGATACTTTCATCCTACTTCCACTGTGTATGAAGACATATTAAGACAGCTTGGATAAGGAGATTATAATTTGTAATTAAATATTAACCTTTCTGACAGAATTAAACTTAGACCACCCAGAATTCTTCATCCTTAATCAGGTGGTTCCTGCCCGTAACTGCATCTTCCCTAATAGTCTTGCTAGTTTATGGTCCTTTCCTGAGTGCTAATTGTTTCAATTGCTGCCAACCTGATAAATTGTATTTGAAAATGCTACTTTGGTTGGAGCATATTAGTAAGCCATGTGTTGCTTCCTGCCTGTCAAGTGGGTCTACTCTGGGTTTGGTTGAGGCAGAACCCAGCAATTGGCAGAGGCAGGGAAGGTGGTGAGGTTGGACCCATGAAGGAGGGCTCAGCCTGAGCTATGTTGTTTCTGTGGCTGCTAGGTTCTCAAGGAGGAGGCAAGGGGATAGTTAGGTCAGAAGAGGGACAAAGAGGTACCCAGGCAGCTAGGCCAGAAGAAGGAGCAGAGGCCTGAAAAACTTCTCATCAGCTCAGCCGGGGAGACTTTCCATAGGCAGTGAGCAAAGATACCTGGGTTATAGGAAATCTCTGATGCAGGGCAGAGGGACCACTGGTGCCTTAACCCCAATACTGGGAAGGCTGGCAGAAGACTGTCTGGCTTTAGCTGACATGTTTCTGTACTATGTCTGAGGTTTGCTCTTTCTATATATCTGTCTCTCTCCTTGACAGCATTTCCAGTCTGTCTAGAAAGACAACCTGGGAAGGCTTAGCAAAGCGAGAATCTGAAAAACAGGGTACGGGGTGGCCCTCTCCTATGGAGAATAAAGAGCTCCAAGCCATGGGAGTAAGGATGAACTATAACTACCTTACAGGTGAAGGCATAAGAAACATGTTTAAAAACTCATGCAGGATGGAGAGACGCAATAAGGCTTATTGTTCTGATTCTTACTTGTTCTATCCTAGAGTCCCCAGGGCTCCTTCTACAGGCCTGGATGCACTGGACGGTAATGGCATGTTTCTAAAGCTTGTGCTCTCTCCAGGATGTGTTCTGCAGGGTAGGGAGAGCATCTTAACTGCTGTTGTATTATCAGTTTTTAGTATAATACCAGGAATATGTAGAATAACCACTGGACTGCAAGCCACAAGGCCAGTGGTTTGAGCCCACCACCCACTCTGAGGGACAAAGATGATGCTTTCAGCTCCAGCAAAGATTTACAGCTTCAGAAACCCTATTTAGGGTCACTATGAGTTGGAACCGATTCTATAGCACTTAACAACAACAGTACAACACCTGGTATAGAGCAGACGCATGAAAAATGTTGTATGGGTGAATGCTATTTGGTTCTTCCAAGAGCCCAAAGAAGCAAGGATAATTATTTCCATTTTATAGATGAAAAAAACAGAAGCATAAAGAGTTTGGATAACTTGTCCAAATTCTTGGAACAGTTAGTGGCCAAGCTGGGGCCAAAGCTGAAGCCTGCTTCCAGGCCCAGGACCCATCTTTTTCATTAGCAATTGTTGGATTCAGGGATTCCAGGTTTTTTAGAATAGCACAAGTGATGAGCTCTCCATGACTTGCAGATCAGTCTTGGGTCCCAGACCTTTCTTACCTTTTTGGCATCTTTGTGCATATATTTGGCTGTCTGTTTGGCCAGCTCTGTTTTTCCTAGTAAGAAAGAAGGGAGAGGAGGTGAATTAGGATCTGATGACTACCTCTTGGAACCAAAGAATATTAGACATGTATGGACACTGAGGAAATGTTATATTTTATTTTATAAAAATTTTATTTTTAGAGAGGGTCAGCGATTTACCCAAGGCCACTTGGGGGATTAATGGTAAAGTTGGCATCAGAATCAAAGTCTGCACTGAATCTGGGTTTACTGTGAAGTGGAAAGTCGACTCCTATAATCCAGAGCTAATGTATCCTTTGAAACCCAACACAGACTTCACCGTTTCCAGGAGTGCCCTGACTTCCTGGTTCACTGCTCAACATCTCTCTGGTCAGCCATGGCTCTGCCATCCAGGATCTGGAGCCACATGCCAAAGAGAGGCTGGGAGGGGAGAAAGAGCACCTCTCATTGGCTTTATAGTCCTTCTTAGTAATATAGAGAAGAAATAATACTAAAGTGGAAACTCTGAAGGGCCATTTGGTATGCTCAAATCAAAGCTTGTGGAAGCCACTGTCTAGTAAAAGAAGTCCAGTTCTGTACTATTCTAGTCAGGCTGAGATGCTGTATCTGAAGGAAAGCTAGGCCCATGAAGGTGTTGGGAAGGAAGAAGAGGGAGGTGGGTCTGTGAGGGCAGACAATAAAGGGATGAGAATTCCTCAGATAATTGAATCCAACTGGCTAGGAAAATACCTAACCCATTTGATCACCTCTGGCACTGTGCTGGCCAGCAGGGGCTTTACTTAGCTTCCTAAATGGGTATCTCCTAGGCTGTACTGTGTGGGTAGCCAGTGAAGGTGGTTCCACTGCTCCCAAAGGGATGCAGAGGGGCTGAACCACAGCTAACTGTGGTCCTCCAGATAAATTCATGCCTGTATCACAGCTTTCAGAAGAAAGGGCATAATTCCAGCTGTTTATGACAATGATCACAAACAGAAGGCCCTCTTGGTGAGTCTGTAATTTGGAGGCAGTTGTTTTGGGGTCAAATGAAGAGCTGGGAGTTGAGGTGGGTCTTGTGACCCTGGTCTGTCGCAGCTGGGGTTGTCAGAATTGGGTTGGCCCCTCCACCTGCTCTCCCTCCCCAGCTGATCTGCTCCTAGTTACCTATTCCAGATGATCCCAAGAAGAGGAAGACCAGAGGGTGTTCTTCGTCGTACCAGCCATTCTCCTTCCTCCGGATAGCTATGGCCAAACACACAAGATGGGGGGGGGGGGGACGGGGAGGGAGGCAGATAAATCAATGACACAAAAGGCAGGATAATTATCACTAAGTATACAATATGTTTTACTGCTCTGCGCCCACTCAAAGTCTTCACTACCATTAGTGCTGCCTAATCTGATTAGCTGGCAAGGCCCCTAGAGATACCTAATCAGGTTAGCATGGATTTGGAAAGCTGCCCAGAGCAGATTTCGGATAAAGTTTTCCAGGATGAGCACTCAGCGTTGCCAGGGAAACTGAAAGGCGGGTGGATGGTGAACAGAGGTGAAGGGGGTGGGTGGCTGGTAAAGGAGAATTCGAGAGGAACTTGAGCTCAACTGGTTACCCACCTACTCATCATAGGAGAAGCCAACCTCCTATGCAAAAATGAGCAGAAGTCCTCGGCAGATCCTTAGGGATCTGGGGTATGAGCTCTGGACTCTCCCATTTGGGAACCCAATGCCTGCTTCACTGTCTGGATCACGAAGTGGAGACATAGCCAAATGCACTTTCTGGAAGTCAATCAAAGGATAGGCCATTTGATTAGCATCTATGGTCACCATGGCCTCTAGTGGGGTGTGAGGAGTGGGACAGATCTTGAGTAGGTTCCTCAGGGACTCAGCTCTGCTAGAGGGACACCTCACTTTCCCTGTATAATAGGAAGTACATAACCCAGAGCTACGCAGTCAAGATGAGGAAATTAGGTGCCACAGTACAGAGTGGAAGAGATCGCACTCAGAAGCACTGCTCATGTTCAAGGAAAGGGAGTGGTAGTGGGGAAGAACTATAACAAGAGTCAGTGACTGAGCATACTATACGTTAGGTGGAGTCCTGGTGTGGCGCTGCCGGATCAGCACTGGGCAACGAACTGCAAGGTGAGCAGTTCAAACTCACTAGCTGCTCCTTAGAAATCCTATACAGGGTCACAATGAGTTGGAACTGACTCAAAGGCATTTAACAAAACAACAGATATGCTACGCAGGAGTCCTGGCGGCATAGTGGGTTAATTAAACATTGGGCTGCTAACTGCGAGGTGGGTAGTTCAAACTCACTAGCTCCTCCTCGGGAGAATGAGGAGGCTGTTTGCTTCCATAAGGATTACGGCCCCAGAGAACCCTGCGCAGCAGTTCTGTTCTGCCTCACAGGATCATAATGAGTCAGAATGCCAGTGGGGTGAGGATACGCTAGGCACGAATGGAAAAACTGCCAACTTCTTATTTACCTAAGACCCCCACAAACACTCAGAGATGATGGTATTACTTTCAACTCCATTACTGGACAGGAAGCCAAGTGATAAAAGGGACTTGCCCAAGTCACACGACTTGTAGAGATGATAGAGTCACTACTCTCTCTAAACCTACCATTTTTCTTTTCTTGCATATGGCTGCTAAAAAAAGTAAGTATCAATTTGGGTTGCATTAACAAAACCGTGGGGACAGAAAACTGCACAATGTCAGAGTCAGTGTGCAGATGGAGAAGCATGTCTGGTCTTGTTCCCAGAATGTTGAGATTAGAAAGGGATCTATGTCACAGGACAAGGGGCTCAGAAACCAAGACAATCGAGAAAGAGCTGACAGTCTTAGGGATGTGTCTGTCTTGCCTGAGGTGTTAAGATCCTAATGATAGCCTGCAGAGGTCAGGGGAGGCTTTCTGGAAGCAGTGGGACTGATGATGAAGGCTGGCAAAGTGGTCAGCCTGACAGAAGTGGAGGGCAGGAATGAATAGTGGCAGGTGGATCAGATTACGTGGACTGTGCATGCCTGCCTTAGGAGTTGAGCCCTCTGCTTGTGGGCTTTCTCACTTCGATTGATTGTTAGTGCTGCACTCAAAGCACTAACTTGTTCTCAGAATCCTCAAAGGCACTTGAGAAAACATGCAACTCAACCTTCTCTCCTGGGCTAGCAAACAGATCTTTTCTAAACTGGCCTAGGTCTTCTGGAAGGACGGGCTAAAGGTGAACCCATAGGTCTCAGAGGCAGAAGTCAAAGCCTGGTTGAGGGAAAAGTACCTGGTGTACAAATGAAGGCAGGAAGGTAGGGTGAAGGTATTAGGAAAAGTGAACATATTATAAAATAGCAAAGGCTACACTTTGGTGGACACTCCCATTGCATGTGGGTGTGTGTGTATGAGGGGGCTTCAAAAGTTCATGGAAGAATTCTGTTTTTTCCACAAACTTTTTGAAACCTCTTCATATATATGTTGGGGTAAGAGAGAGGCCACATGAGAGGAGCTGCGTCCTTCCAGAAGTTGGCTGACTTGAGAATCTAAGTTGAGAAGCTAGGCATGAACTGGGTCTAGGTTTCATGAGATATCTAGAGAGGTAGCAGTACCCAGGTGGTCTGAGGGAATGGGGTTCCCATAGGAGGTCACATACCCAAGGATCTGGTCCTGGCTTCTCTTTTAGAGACGCTTCCCAGGCATGCATCACTGGGCTGTGCAGTACAAAACTGCCATAGAGAATGTGGAATTGGATTATGCCTAGGGCCATCTTTCCCCCACTCTCTTCTAATAATGCACCTGGGAGAGAGCTCGTTATAATGTCAGGCAGACTCTACTGTATAGCTGTGCCTAGTCAAATCTGTCAGACCCAGGGCAGGAGGCTGGGATGGGCTTGATCTGGGGCCCCCATGAAACAGGCAAAATGCCAACCATTAAATAATTACAACTTTGGGTATTTCTAATAATATCTGGAAAGAAAAATGGCTAAGAAGATAGAGCCCGACAGAGTGAAAAATGGAAGCAGCTAGGAAGGACTAGGGGGAAGGAGGGTCCCAGTGAATGTGGCTGGCAGGGGTGCTGAGGACCAAGGCTGGGAGCCCTAGGGTCCTGCTCAGGACAGGATAGAAGCTAGTACAAACAGACCAACATAGGGGTTGGCACTCTTACTGCAGACCAGCAAATATAGAAACTTACTCTGCTAGCCCTTTATAGTCTATGAAGAACTTCTGTAGAAATAATTTCATTTGAGCTTCATCCTGACCCTGTGAGGCTGGCAGGGCAGAGAACTTGATTCTCCTTTTGCAGATGAAGAAATATGTGTAAAGAAATTAGGTAACCTGATCAAGGCTTTGAAGCTCGGCTTTAACCCCAGCTCTGGCTGACTCTTGACTCTTGACCGAGTGCTTCAGGAATTTAGAGAAAGGAATCAGCTCTTTATTAACACAGCATCTCCTCACAGCCTTGCTTTACTCAGAAACAGTCTGTTTGCCGTCTCCCAATCTGGCCTGCTCAGCCTTTCAACACATGGCCTCTGGAGACCTTGCCCCGGACCCTCTGCTGCCATTGCTCTCAGGACCCTTCCTTGGCAGGCCCCATCTCTGCAAGCTCCACTCAGGTTCCTCTGCCTCCCAATTTATGTGTGCCCTTCCTCTACCAGAAACATCCTTTCCTGGTCATGTCTTTCACTGCTGGGCCATCAATCTTCTGGTGAGTTCCACCACACCTATTATCATGTCTTTAACTCACGGAGTTTGTGTTCTCTGGTTATGTTCTCGTCCCCAGGGTGGTATGGTGGACAGGGTAGGAGTTACAGGATCTAGTTTAGAGTCCTGGCTTTACCATGTACTACTTGAATGACTTTGATTAAAACATTTAACCTTTCAGAGACTCAGTTTCTTCATCTATAAAATGGACACAGTCATACATCCTGCGTCATCCCCACGTGAAGTTCAAGAGTGTTAATGGGCATGAAAGCAATTTGCAAGCAGCAAGGAGTAGAATGGTGGTGGTGGTTATGTGCCTTGGAGTCGGTTCCGACTGATAGCGACTCTGCATAGGGTTCCGAGGCTGTAAATCTTTACGGGAGCAGAAAGCCTCATTTTTCTCCCACAGAACAGCTGGTAGTTTCGAATTGTTGACCGTGAGATTAGCAGCCTGATTTATATCCACTATGCTACCAGAGCTCCTTAAGACGAGTAAAATAATGGTAGTCACAGCAGCAGCAGCAGCAGCAGAGGGGGCAGCCATTAAGCTCAGTAGCTTACAGACATCTCTCCATCTTTTTGCTAATTGTGAGATGGAGGCATTATCCCCATTTTACAGAGAAGGCTGAGGCCCAGAGAGGGGCATTGTAAGTGGCTTTGTCTGCTTCTTCCCTTGTATTCACGGAAGAGGTGCTCTCCCAGTTTCACTGGTATCTCATGTCAGCAGGTACAGGGTCTATTTCCTGAAGAACCCCTGAGATTAGCTTAACATTGGTGTAATGCTTGCTGACTAAATGACTTAATGTTTGGAATTTGTGGAATCATATAGGGGAAAGAACAGAGACTTCAATTCCCATTTTACAAAGAACAGACTCAAGAATCTCTTAGCACTTCAAATGGTTACTACTGCCTTTGGATGAAGAAGGAATCCCCTCTCTTCTTAACTTCTTCTCCGGGGAGCCTACAGCATCTGTTCAGCAAACAGGGTCTGTGCCAGGTGCTGAGGCACCCACGAGGAGGCCTGAAACAAAGTTTGTGCCTTGAGGTAAATGTTGATCTGAAAACTCTGAGTTCCAAAAGGAATGGGAGCGCTGGAAGAATGTGCGGAGAAATATATGGCTGAAGGATGAGTTGGGAGACTGAGAGGCATTCCAGTGTATGATGGGACATTCCAGGAAGACAGACCCAGTGTGTGCAAAGACTAGAAGACAGGAAAAAACTGCCTTCTCCTCCCACCCCAGGCCTCTGCCTCTGTTCAGCTCAAGACTCTAAGGGCGGCCTGGGTGGGCTGATTCACTCTTCTAGAAAAGGTGATCTAGTGTGGAAGACTTTTTCACCTAAGCTAGAACACGTTTGTTTCATGTCTGTTGCATCTCCATGGAGAACCTGTCCTTCAGAGGGACTCTAGTGGTTGGGAATCACCCAACTGTCTACCAGTCATTTTCTGCCTACCTCTTACAGGTATCAGGAACACAAGTGCTCAATCCTACTGACTGAATGGCTATTGGTGCCTTTGATTTGGGGGACCATGGAAAACAGGTCTTTTTTCTTAGTTTGTTAGA